ACTTGTAATATAATTTGCATTATTACAAGTAATATATTTAATTATATGTATAATAATTTGTAGCAACGTACTGGTATAATCCATTGAAAAATTCTTAAGACTTTTCTTTATATTTTCCCTCATATATTTCACATTACATTATTTTATATTAATATACAAAAAAAAAATATTTACTACACGCAGTTTGTGAACAGTTGAATTTCTTATCCACACTTCATATGAAGTACCAATATATTATTTCATACATATTTTATAGCCACAGTATCGTCGAATGCATAATGCATGACCGCGTTTTTGACGTATGCATTTCGCAATTTCGCGCGCATGACAAAACAATCGTCCCCACGGCATGTTGCGTCGAATGAATGGCGCAAAAAAAAACACATTGACGAGAAAGGTTTTGCTCGCATTTGTGACGAGGAGCGGACACACATGCGGAAATTCGCGCGACGCTCGCAAAAAGCGAGTCCGCCGGAAACGCAGATTTAACATTGTCATCTTGCTGCTACCTCGAGGAGGGCGAGAGCAAGCGAACCGGAAAGGAGGTCGATTCTCTTTTTGCACGAGAATTGACCAAAAGCGATTCGAGCACAAAGAGAGAGAGAGGACGGGAATAAAACAGCGCGTTGTCGATTATTTCTCGCGCAATATTCGTGATTTTCGTAAAATCGCGTCGACGGGAGAGAAAATTTATTTCCGGACCAGTGTGTGGATTTTTGTTCCCACGCTTGCTAAACGTTGTTTGAACATGCTAAAGTCGAGCAAAAATTTTCCCTTACAATTATATGGATGCACGAAAAATTCTGTAATAATTTGCAATCGTGCAGTGTAACTATCCAGACAACACAGAATATTTAGAAAATATTTATAATAATTATTTTAATATTTTATAAATATTTTAATGTTTTTGGAGTCGTAGATTTAATAGATCATAAATATCAGAAAATATTTACCATAAATATTATAAATATATTTATTAAATCATTATGATAGAGATTTTTTAAAATTTATATTTTCTTTAATAAATACTCATTAAATTAATTATGTTAAATCAAATTAAATTCTCAAAATTTTTATCTATTTTATATTTTATTATACTATTTTTATATTATTTATTATTACGTTATTATATATTTCATTATTAATATAGAAATATATGAAAAATCTTTAATAATAATTTGTAATAGTCAATTAAATTAAATTTTCAAAATTTTTATTTATTATATTTTATATGTATTTTATTATTAATATAAAAAATCTTTAACATTTTGCAATAATATAATATAATAATGTGCAGTGAATTTCTTTTAGAAAAATGTATGTGCTGGATTTATATCAAAATATAATATTGAATACTATATAGCGACGCACGTGTCTCGTTGTTTACATATTACACTAACTTACGGTATGTCAATATGACATAGTGGAAGTGCACCTTACTTCACAAAAGGAGAAAGGGAAGAGAACAAGGACCGGCCTTCAGAAAGCTGAAAAATTGTTATTATTCTTCCGTCAACTTTTGTACGTGAAGAAAGGTGTATTATCCCTTTAACAAAGCTCTCTTTTATCTTGACAACCTTCGATAGTGAGATTCCATTCAATTCTCTCTTACAATCTTACTTTCTTTTACATAATATGCATGTCATTTGGAGTAAACAATTTTCACCCATCAAAGATCAGGCATCCCAAAATGCGAATTTTTCCAAAATCGTTTTTTGTCCACTTTGCAAAAAGAATTAAAAATAAAAAATAATTATGAGCACCCCTAGCATTTTTAATAATTATATATCAAAAATTTATATTTAAAAATGATAAATGAGAGTGCATGTAGGAGTGCTCGTGATAAAATTTATTCAAATTTCTTTTTATATAATTAATTTTTTATAAAAAAATCAATCATAATTTTTTATATAGAAAGTTATATAAAAATTAATTATATAAAAAAATGAATTATATGAAAAAGAAATATTTAATTATTATTAAATATTTAGTCAAATTTCTTTTTCATATAATTCATTTTTTTATATAATTAATTTTTTATATAACTTTCTATATAAAAATTTTTACGATTGATTTTTTTTATAAAAATTAATTATATAAAAAAGAAATTTTTTTGTATAATTAATTTTTATATAAAAATTAATTATACAAAAATTTGCGAAAAAAATGCACTTTTTATATTTTAGGTAACAAGTTATATTGTTAGAGATGTAGAGTGATCGATATAACCCGAAGCTTAATAATAGATCGATTTAAGCGCCAATATGTACGCCAGATATAGACTGCCATTGTTTAGTTTAGCGCTTCTATAAACAGACTAGATCCGCCTCGCGTAAGGATGCGGATCCACCTCCGCTTAAGGGTCGCGGCTAGGAATTACCAGAGCGATTCAAGTAGCGGCACGTATACACCTGTACGTGCATATGCACGTGTAAGTGTAACCATCAGCAATCGATTCGAAATTAAACATGGAGGAGGAGCGCCGATGTACAATAGACGCGCGAGAGGAAGTAATCGCGGCACAACCTTGTCTTATACGACAATAATCACGGGTGTAGTGCAAAGTTCGCGGTTCAAGTTATACCGGATATATACCTTGTCACGATAGGGTCGTCTCCGTTATAGCGGGCATGCAGTTTTGCGCTTCAATGTTATTTTCGAAAGAAATATATATGCGCGACTCGGATGATGGATTACACAAATAAAACTTTCTTTCTCGGGTTAAAGTTACAGCACAATCGTTCAAGATCGAGTCGCAAGTATATATATATATATATATATATATATATATATATATATATATATATATCGAGCAATCCCGCTTTTATTTGAACCCCCAACTATGTATCTCGATACTCGATTTGTATACTTCAAGTAGTTAGAGATTGGTCCCAAAGTGCTTTTTTATCATTTGAAAAGTTGCGAAATATTAAAAATTTTTAATTCACATAAACAAATAATAGTATTTTATATTTATAATTATATATATTTAAATAATAGAATAATTTCCGTAGCGACAGTGAAATAAGATTGCAAGGTTTATTATGAACGACCCAACTGTCAAAAAACAGTTTTGACAGTTGGGTCGTTCATAATAATATACTTGCATATTTAAAATACTTAATTTATATATATAATTTATATATAATTTAATAACAATTAAATTATAATATATAATAACAATAATTTTTTTTATTTTATAATTTTTATTTTTTTAAATTTTAGAATTAATTTTTATTTTTTTTATTTTAGAATTAATTTTTATTTTTAAACTCCGAGATATATATATATATATATATGTTCGATTGATATGTAAAGCAGTATATAGCCATGGATTTGGCGAATGACATGTCATGCCGCGTATGAGGTGTCATATGTCATATTTTATGTACACGATAGTTACGATAGTTAGATCGACCGGCAAAATGCAGGGCGACATACGTGTGTTTATAAACGTCTCGTTTCGGAGTTCATAACCGATTCTAGAGACATTGTGGTTGTATCGCTGGCAACAGGCTGAATCGACGATTCGCGTTCAAATGTCCGTATTAGGAAGTTCTCGAGTGACATTAAAAGTTGGACCGCTGTATTTCTTCCGACTCGGAGCGCATTATTCGGAAAGCGGTCGTGAACCAGAAAGACAAAGTCGAATTTCACGCGAATCGAATTTCCACGAGAGATAAAACGCCCAACTCCGGAGAATCGGAAAGTCATATGGTACAGGAATAAAATTATATTGCAGTACAGTACGCCATTTTGAAAGTCGTCTATCCGAAATACATAGGTTCATCTACAACGAGTGCGAAAAACTTGGACGGGTTCGAGAGGTCATTTTAAGTTGTATAAACATAGGTTCTGTTTCGATTAATTATAGAACCGCAAGAAATCAGTCTTATTTATACGGTATTAAATAATAGATTTAATATCTAGTTGTACGATTCAAAAGTAAAACATTTAATATTTAAATATTAAATTATTATTATTATTTTTATATTTAATTATTATTACAAAACAGATGAAATTTTACTATAATAATATTACAATCTTTAAATTTTAATTCGTTTTGTACACTGAAAAAAAGTTATTGAATTTGAATGAATATTTCAATACTGCTTACATTTATTTATTTGAAACTAATAACATTGATTTGATGTAAAAAATACTTGATATAAGAAAATCCTTCTCAAAACATAAATAATTATTTGTTTCAAACAAATGATTTCTTAGACAATATTGAAATAAATATTGATCAATTTAATAATTTTTCTGTGTATAAACTATGTCAATAATATTTAAATATTAAATTATTATTTTTATATTTAATTATTATTACAAAACAGATGAAATTTCACTATAATAATATTACAATCTTTAAATTTAAATTTGTTTTATACTCTAAAAAAAATTATTAAATTTGAATGAATATTTCAATACTGCTTAAATTTATTTATTTGAAACTAATAACATTGATTTGATGTGAAAAATACTTGATACAAGAAAATCCTTCTCAAAACAAATAATTATTTGTTTCAAACAAATGATTTCTTAGACAATATTAAAATAAATATTGATCAATTTAATAATTTTTTCAGTGTGTAAACTATGCTAATATTTAAATATTAAATTATTATTATTATTTTTATATTTAATTATTATTACAAAACAGATGAAATTTTACTATAATAATATTACAATCTTTAAATTTTAATTCGTTTTATACACTGAAAAAAATTATTGAATTCGAATGAATATTTATTTCAATACCGCTAAATTTATTTATTTGAAACTAATAACATTGATTTGATGCAAAAAAATACTTGATATAAGAAAATCCTTCTCAAAACAGATAAACAATTATTTGTTTCAAATAACAATTAGACAGTATATATTTCAATAAATATTTATCAATTTAATAATTTTTTCAGTGTACAAACTATGTCAATAATAAATTCATAAATTAAATATCACGCGAACAATCATATATATTTCTCTGCTTACAGAACACCAGTTCCAGTCCAGCCAATCCTCCGGTGATCGATCACCCCGAGAAAAGAATCCCTGGGAACAAGTAACCGATCTTGTCGGAGAACAGCGGTCGAACTCGTCGTAGGACGAGAACTCGCGCTCGTGTCGAGTCGAAAGTCTCTCTCTTCTGAGGTGCCTCTCATCCGCGAGACAGCGCGCTCCCTCGAGATGGTCATGTGACTGTCGGCAGTCGACGTCCCACATCCGGTCCATCCTTCCCGAGGGATGTCCTCCTCCGCGGGTACCGCCTGCACGGACGCCGAGGAGGACGCCGAGGATGTGGAGAACGACGTCGCGGGTAAATCGGCGCAATCGTCACGTTGTTACCTGTCGTCGCTGTCATCACCGTCACCGTCGTCGTCATCGCGAACTCGCCACCGTCGCCGCGCGGGCGATCACTTGGAAGGATTGCGGTTAGATGGGTCATCGCTCGTGCACCATCGTCCGCCATCGTCCGACGACACTTCCGGAGCACCGTCGAGGACACGCGAGGCCGCGGATAAGACGACGAAGAAGAAGAAAAAGAAGAAGAAGAAGAAGAGGAGGAAGGACAACCGGCAGGCATCGGACGTCGGAGGGCTCGAGAAACGATTCCCGATAATCGGTCGACGCGTGTCAATTTGCGCGAGGAAACAGTTGATCGAATCCCGCTTCTTTTCCTCCTCATCGTCGTCATCATCGTCGAGGGGATTCCCGTTGATTCTTGTAGCTGTCCCGTTTCGAGCCGCCGCGATGACGTTCGGTAGGGGACGTCATTCAGATGACGAAAGAAGAGTCGTTGGATCCCATCCCCCGTCATCGTTCATCTTCGAAGAGAATTGTCGACTGTCTGGGAAGGAACTCTTGTTCGATTTAAGGGGAAGCGAAGGCGGCGATAAACGGCACCGAGAAATATACATGACAGGAGGTAAGATGAATCTTCTTCCTTCGTTCTCTCGAAAGTTTTGGCTGATTTAGAAATCACGACGAAACGAAATATAAAGAAGAATAAATCAATCAATAAATAAGTACATACAAAAATCGGAAACTCATCCCAAGTGCCGCAAGCAACAAGGAGAGTACTTCGCTTGAGTTTTGTCTGAAGTGGGAAATTACTGAGCGCTTTTTGCTGTCGCTCGTCCAGAGAGAGAGAGAGAGAGAGAAAGAGTGCCGCAAAAATTGTAAATTTTCCTGAAAAACTGTGCGAGCACTCGTTCTGCGAAGAGGACCAGCTGTTGTTGTCACACGGTTACGCAAGAATCAGCCGAAAACTTGTTTCCCCGTATTTATCTCTCGAACTAGTGCCGTCGCCGGACCACTTTCGCGCTCGCATGTACTACTACCGGTCTAAATGAATCGCGATGACGAATTCGAGTGCGTGAAGTGTCTTTCCGTCGCTTTTGTTACGCGAGAGAGAGATACTCATCCGAGGTAAGATTCGATCAGGAAGGATTGTTTTCATCATGTGTCGCGGGCGGCTTGAGATCATTCTAGCCGGTACAGGCTGGCCGAGATCCTGATAGCCACCGCAGCGACCAGGATCCGGGACCATTCAACGAAGAAAGGATGCCAGGGGGCCGCAGGGGCCTGGTAGCCCCCCAAAACACGTTCCTGGAGAACATCATACGACGCAGTAGCAGTCAACGTGAGTCTTGGCCCTTTCTGTCTTATATTAGCTTGTCTGCGCAAAGAACCCGGCACTAATTATAAGGAAAAATCTGTCCCGGTCAAATCAATTGGTTTTTTCATATGTTATAGTTTATGATCTACTGAACAAAATGTAATGGACAGTTATCGAGTTATAACCAGTCAAACATGAAAAATTCGGACTCCCGAATAGTATTGTAAATCTCGTAAAGTGTTGATTTTTTGGAAAAATGTTTGAAACAATAGTATATTGTGTATCAAGTGCGGAAAGTTGACTCCGCACGTGATACACATACTATTTTGTATTACAAGTGCAGGCAAAGTGGCTTCGTGCGCGTTTTCTGTGCGCGAGGTGGCCGATCGCACGCCGCCATCTTGCGGCGGCACGGTGCGGGAATAGCCGTGTTCAATACATTGCCTACGGCTTCAGCCGTGGACAATGACTTTGAACGCGGCTCAGCCGTAGGCAATGGCTTTGAATGCGGCTTATTTACTCACCGCGTCGCCGCTAGATGGCGGCGTGGGAAATCGGCCGCTTTCCGCACAGAAAACACGCACACAAAGTGCCACTTTGCCTGCACGTGTAATACAAAAATCGTAGTTTTACAAAATCTGTTATTTTTGAATTTTGGATGACTTTGAATGATCTTGATGACGGCTCTAGCTATATATATAGAGCACTCTACACATAACTCTAGCGCTCTATACAGCTAGAACCATCATCAAGGTCATTCAAAATTTGAAAATAATGTCACCAACTAACAGATTTTGTAAAACACTGATTATAACTCGATAACTGTCCATTATTGAGCTTTGTGGCTATTACATCTTTTGTTCAGTAGGTCATAAGCTACAACATATGAAAAAACCAATTAATTTGACTGGGACAGATTTTTCCCTATAATTAGTGCGGGGTTCTTTGGAAGAGTACACTGAACAGAATATTTGCGCGGAATTGCATGATTGTGCGTGCTGGACTCTTTTTCGACCCAGCATAATCATGCAATATTACTATTTATATATGGAAGATTACGAATTATATGTAGGTAATTTCATATCGAGATTAAAAATATTCCATTGAACATGGAATTACACATATATAGGAGATGTCGTTAGTAATGTATAAATGCTATATATATAAAATGATGTTATAAATAAAGTGGACCCTTACCAAAATAACTACAAGAATACGAAAAAATTACTGGTATACCAATAATATATTATTGAAGAACTTATTATTATATCAGTAATTTTTTTGTATTCTTGTAGTCTTTTTTCGTACGGGAATGTTTATAATAAACCGATGACATAAATAGAGTTCTAATGAAGTAAAACTACTAAATTTAGAATCACAATTGATTTTTGCATAAAAATAGTAATTGTACTTACATTTATATATATTTTTATATTAATATTTTTACTTTTAAAAAATATGGAAAAAATTACGCAGTAATAATTCAGTAATTTTTTCAATTTTGAATAAGTAATTTCCATGTAAAAGCACATATATTTTTCAGTGTACATTTTCTCAAAAGGATGACGTGCACATTTTTCTTCAACAGAAATGTCGAGGCGTTAATTAATATATTTTCACGCGATTGAAAAACTCCCTCTTTTCGCGAAAAAAAATTTCTATAAAATATTCGTCGATTCAATCCCAGATAAAGTTTAATGAAATTTTAATTTAATTTCAAGTATAAAGTGCAAAGATGCATGCTAAAAATTATTAGGGTTACGATAAATGATAAATCTGACATTTTCGCTAAGAAGAAAAATTCAGATTCATTAAAAAGAATCTTAAATAACAATACCCGAGAAATATAAGATATATTATGTACAGTTAAGACTTCGGAAAATTGTAGGCGCCGAAAACTTTGTAATTTACGAGAGAAATGAGTATATAGGAGCGGATAAAAATATACGAGAAACTTTGTTACATTTCCATTAATAGAAAAATATAATATTTAATCAATACGGTGAAGTATTAATTAATTATTATATTTGCGACAACGAGACGCGCACCGATGACATAAATTAATCGTACGTATGTACGATTTATTTGGGGATATATACGATGGAGGGTGGGAAATTATGAATTATTGATTTTAACGTAAATCAATATTCTCTATTACATAATATCGCATAATTACGCGGATTATTCTCAAGTCCCTCAATCATAATTTTGCTATTGTTGCGCGCAGATTTTGTGGTAATAATATTTCACAGAGAATACTGCCGCGCTGTAGATTCGAGCATCATAAATAAATCTTTTGGCAGTTATGGAAGGGCTAAATCAAGCATGTAATTTGATATCGATTTTCCTAATTGGAATGCCTCGAATTTCCGGAATCTGTCGGAATTCTCTATATTCATATAACGTGCAAAAATAGCAACGGCAGTCAAGCGGATCGTAAATGAGGCGAACGTCTTCGATTTTATATCTTCAACTGGTATACTGACCTATACTCGTTTCTTTAGACGGGAAAGTCGAATGAGCTCAGGTGTACAAGTACATTTCAAGTATCTTACCACGTGGACACGAAACGCCGAGAACTCTGATTTCGATGAAGCTTTGCATACATATGTGTATAGGAAGAATAAATTAATTAATTTAGAAATTTCAATTCCGATATATTCAGAAGATTTATGATAAGAACACTAGTTTTTAATCATATTAATAAAATTTTAGAAATAATTAAATAATTTTTTCAGCAAATTTTCTTAAAAATTTTTTCTTAGAAAAAATTATTGTTTCGAAATTTATTAATCTGGTTAAATAGAATATTTTTACTATGAAACTTGTATAAAACATCCTTTGATATTTTGAATTGAGAAAAGACGCTCTATAAATATGAGAGGTGGTTTTATTCCTTAGAATAATTTTTGAGCTGCAACTAAAAATTTCTAAATTCATCCATTTATCTCTTTTATATGTAAAATTTTATCAAAATCTAAATTTTTGCTTCGTGAAATTTCATTGTTATTATAATAATGATGACAGTGGTTAATTGCAATTTAAGTTTTAATTGCAAAAGTTCAATGGTTATTCAAGATTCGTTGCATTTATATTGTTAGGCTTCTTCTATTTTATTTGATGGTATATAAAATACCGAAAATGAATGCAATAATTGTAAAACATCGTAACTCTAGCGTGACTCTTTACAATTTGATTTTTTGCCCAAGAGGAAGAGAAAGAGATAAAGAAATTTAACAAAATTATACATAACCTAATTGAAAATATTATATATATAATATAATTTAATATCACTCTCTCTTGTTTGGCACGCAATGTATAATAAGCGTAAAACACAGTAAAATAAATCTCTTAATAAGTTAATGTATCTAAAAGCCGAGTTAAATCCGATGGGAAAATTATACAGAGTAGTTTAGGATCATTTTGATCCCCGAAACTACATTAAATGGCTAAGCGAGGCTGCTTCAGACGTAATACCGCGAAAAGTTACTTTCGTCTTTAGTATAATGATGCGAGAATTACGGAAGAATTATGATATTGCGAGTTGGGAGGGAGAGACCTTTTATTCGTCATCAATCACGAGATCGGGGATGAAAGGGGCGACATACAAAGTTTCCTTTCTAGTCCAGTCAAATTAGACTTTGACTTCATAATAATTAGGATTAGGTTGAATTTTTGTGGAGACCTTTATTTCGATGTTTTAATGAAATCCTGAAAAGTACCCTTAATTTCAGCCAAGGAGTAAATTTTAGTTTTTTGCCATTATCTCGAAAACTATCAATTTTTCGAGAAAAATAGTTATTACCAAAATTGTAGCTCATAAAATTCTCTACAAAAAGGTCTGTATACTTTTTTCGTGGAATTAACCGTTTCAAAGATATAGAACGAAAAAACGCGCCCAGTACTCTACCCTATATTTTTTACGAACTATAGACATTGCAACTTTACCGTTTTCCTCAAAAACGATTAGTTGCACAAAACAAGTATACAGACCTTTTTTGTAGAGAATTTTATGAGCTACAATTTTGATAATAACTATTTTTCTCGAAAAATTGATAGTTTTCGAGATAATGGCAAAAAACTAAAATTTTCTCCCATAGAAAAAACGCCCTGAATGAAATTAAGGCTACTTTTCAGGATTTCATTAGAACATCGAAATAAAGCTCGATCCTAAATTTTATGAAGTTTTGCCCTTTTGAAGTCTAATTTTACTGGACTATTTCGGCGAAATTCTACAGCCTCCAACGATGACATTTATCATGTTTACGCGAAGTATCGAGAGTGGTTTTTTTAGTCCCTTAAGTTTCTCTCGACGTGGAAGACCGAAATTTCTCCCGCGATTTTTTTCCCGTAAGGACAATAAATCCTATCGAGCTTCTGCCACCGGATGCTGTGCACGCATACATAACGTCGGTTCCTTTCAGATTCTCTCTTTATCTCTTTTTTTTCCCTCTCTCGTGTCGTCAACTTGACGATGCTTCGAGGGTGAGGAAGAAGCGGATATAGATTTATTCAGACTACATTTCCCCCGGAAAAACGCTTTGAGACAGACGGGGATTAGGCCCGCATATAAAGTCATCTCATTCTCTTTATCAGCTGTTCCGGAAAAATTACAACTCGATAAAGGCTTATATCAAACTTCGACTTTAGCTAGGGGATAAAGATAAATTTTTTTTAATAATATAAAAAATTGTAGACATCTTTTCGAACAACTTTGTTATATATTAATTAATATTTATATGAGTGATTTATTTGCAATTATTTATTAATATTAACGCATATAACAGAATTTTTTTATTAATATATCTTATTCTTGTATATTTTTAAATGCTCTCTTGCACATTTTATTCAATTATTTAAATATATTTTATTATTGAAAATACATTTTACTGTCTTTGTTACGTCGATCGAAAAATTGGTTGTGGTGAAATAGATACAAAATTATTTATTAATATTAACATATGGGTTTATTAACCCACATTATTCTTATAATAATTTTAAATTCTCTCGCGTGTTTTATTCAA